GTTGAGTATGTAGAGTATTTACTCTATCATTAATGAGTGGGTCTCGCTGCCAGGAAGAAGTCACAGAGCGTTTTGCCATTGTCATTTGGTTGGGTGATCATATGTTGCTCCTCTTACACATCTGTTCCAAGACAACACTCCATATATTCAGTCATGAGTACATATGCGTCCTCAAATTATCAATTCCGTATCAGACCACATACATGTCCACGTCAGTTGGTCTCATAACCATCGCAGTTTTTACAAAAAACAATCCATCGGGTCTTCCACTATGGCTATTGGGAAACCACTTTCCTGTGGCTTTTAATTATGTCTGCCTTTCGTCCAAGTACGAAAGCGACATAGCAAAGATAGGCAAACCGTCCACCAACCACTATGAGGATTCATGACACGAGTGGGATATTGGGACTTGTCTGATCATTGGGAATGCATCTGACACCTCGTCTCTGAGCAGTCTCAAAACCCTATGGACTTAGAAAAGGTTTCGCTCCCAAAACTTTTGCTCCAAGACCGCGTTTCAATGATGAAGCCGTGACTCTATCAGTAGCAACAGTGTGTTATTTTGTACACATCACAGACTTGTGGTTGTCGCTGCTGCTATCAAGCTCTGCATGTGGAAACAAACCTAGCTCTCAAGGCAGTTTACACAGAATTAGATCCTGAGAATAGATTTGAGTTAGTCTGTTGCAGTGGGGTATATTGAGGAGGTGCTCCCGCTGGTGTATTTAGGAGCCTGTACAAACAGCCCTGCTCGCTGGCTGCTGCTGCAGAGCTTCGCTAGCGCGCTGCTAGCACATTTGCTGAGCTGCTGCAGCTGCACATGGGCGCCTTCCCTGATTGGACCAAACATTGCGTCTTCTTCTGTTGTAAAGGCAACTAGGCTGGTTTCACTCATTCTTCTCTTTAATATTGCTTATTCCTAACTATTGCTTGCAACCTAACCACAGCTATCTGCCATTTCCTGCTCATGCAAATACGTTTTTTGATGGCAACTTTTCTTTGGATTTAAGTCCTAAACTAACTTTCATCACCCAGTGTTTCACACTCTTTTAGTGTTAGTTTAACCTTCCAAACCCATACTTCTTCTCCAGTTTTCTTAAATACTTAACTGATTCAGGATTTTTTCTCTGCATAAACTTAGGGATCCCCTTTCAGAGTCCACAGTTTTAGTACAAGATGAACCCAGCCATATTTACTCTTTAACGTAAATTACTTACGATAACTCTTCACTTCAACTATATTTTAATAACTATTGCTTATACAACAGGAGATATAAATTACACCATTTGTAAACGATCTTAGTGGAATGCCTCACGGGCCAAATCAAGATTCCTCGAGAAACAAGCTTCTAGAATAAAACTTAAACAGTGTTCATCTGGTTTCTCCCCGGTGTGTTTAATCACAAGGAATGTAATTGTTTTAGACCACTTTCCACGATTACTTAAAACATAATTAGATGCAATCCTTTCTCTACTTCACCAAGCCGACAACTTCTTCGTTATCACCGCAAGGTTTTACTGGTTGTCCGGTGCTTCGAGTATAGATTGACCTCCTTTCACACACACATTCACCACAGACGTCTTTAATTGAAAATGAACCCCGTTCACTTTTAACTGCAGTAAAAAGTAGTCCCCGACTTACTCTAAATAATAACCCCCGTTATTATTACAGTCTATGATAGTTCCAGACTATCTAAAAGAATAACCTGTTGTTATTCCGGGCTCCCCCTCTGACTGTCTTTAATAGCTCTCTGACTATTAGAAGAATAAACCTCGTTATCCCAGGCCTAAGAAATAGCTCCCTCGACTATTAAAAGAATAAACCTCGTTATCTCCCGGCCTCTTTTTTGAGTCAAAAGTAAATTGACTTCAAAAGTACATTCACACTTGCCTGTTATCGCGATGTCCGTTGCTTTTGTGTCTTCAATCCGAAATTCGAAGCTGATCAAAACCCCACACAGAGAGACTGTTGCTGCCGTTGTTTTTCGACCTGCAACCTCCAAGCCACGCTGCTGTTCAGCTCTTCCAGTAGGACGACGGTCAGCTCCAAAAAATGATGTTTTGACATCCGGCTCAAGAAGGACCAAAATATGTTAACGCTGGTTCAGCCACGGTTTCTCCTTCGATGAAAAATGGACCACAAATTCTGCATAGATATATGAAAAAGGTTTAATATATAAAAAGACAGAATATAAGAAATACAGACAATGCAGACTGCTTGATCCCAGTCCGGGTCCTCTCCCTTGCACACCCAAAGCAAAAAGACCCCTGTTTCAAGACAGGCTATCGATGAAAAGCACACAGTCACATGACCTGATAATTGAAAACACATGGTCTCCCCATCCTTAGGTGAACACCAAATAGCTCCTTTCTCCAAAACACACACAGTAGCCCCTCTCAAAGTAAGCCTGAGGCTATAACAGATGTTTCTCTGTCCTTGGCTTAATCTAACTTCCTTGTGTATAATGAGCTGGGGGTTTGACCTCCGCACATTCTTCACCCTGCCTGATCAATACTACAAGTTTTTAGATCCACGCTATATATCAAACATAACATTTATAAGAATTATGATATAATAACACAATAACAATACTCTCATTGACATTTTTCAATTGTTTTTCATGTGATCAACAGTATATTCATTATTGTCTTATGGGTTGTTGTTGCATTGTATCACGATATGTCGTCATTTTGCGTCACATCAGCCTCGAGCTAACATTATATTTTTAGATGCTGAGGTATTTTTTCTCCTGCGTCAAAATGGAACTGAGAGAATATTCAACTTTTCCGTCACATGACACAAAGGCATAGCCTATGCTATGGTATCTATACGCTGGTTTAAACTCAATTGAATATAGTCTAGTATTAGCGTTAATCGGGACTAATTCCATCCGCTGGGAAATAAGGCACATGGATGTTTGGTCTGAGCTTAGTTTAAACAAGTTAACCCATTTGAAAAAAACTAAATAATTTATTTTCTCATTTTCCTGGAAGTAACACAAGGCTAATACGCAATGTAAGCAAATAAGTATAATACAGCTCGGAAACTTGTGTTGAAACAATCCGCGTCAAATACTACAGTTCCCATCATGCTTTTGCTTTGTCACCGTGTCCTCCCTCAAACAACAAACAAGCACAGGCATGCCTTTATTTAGCAAAGAGTTTGGTCTCGTTCATCTCAAGACGTAAATCTGGGCTGTGTGTACAAAGGACTGCGTGCTTCGGTATGTACCAAACGACGCTGCGCGCGTGATTTGATTCATAGCGTAGTTAAATGTTGTAGCGTAGCTTCTTCTGAGGCCAGTTTTCATTACTTTCATGACTGTCTTTCTTGGTATATCGCTATGCACTCCACTAAACATGGCTGATACTTAGATTATTATTGCTTAAACAAGTAAGATCCGTCTTTCCGTGTTTTTTTCGTTTGGAGACTGAAAATATATCCCAAAGCATTTATGTTCCCCCCGTGCAGCAACTAAAATTGTATGAATTATTTGTGAATTTAGACAATTAAATAATAATTATGTGAACATTGTGAAATTAATCACCAAGTAATGTAAATGTTACAGACTTGTTTTCTCTTCTACCCGAAGCTGAAAAACACACGTGAGTATGGCTCTCCGTTTTCAAATGGCATATATTTCGATTGTTTTAACGTTCTATCAGCGAAATTCATCCTGTGATTTGATAGGGGCTTAGATACATCGATATGTAGTGAAACAAACGCTGTGTAAACGACTTTTTTAGTAAAAGTCGTTTACAGCTGGCGTGTGAGATGGACCAACATGCTATGTAACGCTACCAACAGTGATTCATTTTAAATATATAGTACTTTTTCAGTGAAGTGCATGCATAGGGATATTATTAAAGTTTGACCCATAAGTTTGACCGCGTTTTCCTTGAAGCAACCGAGCGCGTTGATTTGGACTTAATGGTGCAAGCACTTAATGGTGCAAGCACTTAATGGTGCAAGCACTGACCTCACGGACGCTACTAAATTCTATACAATATGAAATTACTTATTCAACTTTGTACCAACTCCTGGGTTCGAAATTAGATTTTGGGGAAAATGTTACGTACACGCGTAATGCATGAATGAATAACGTGGTCATAATCCCTCCAGAAATGTATTAAGTTTCTCATATTTGCTCGTGGAAAGATAGTAACATTATGTACTAGTAGAAAAGAGAAATTACTTTTCATTTATGTGTGTGGGTTCTCATGCATGTAGCTCATTATTAATAATTTTACATATGGTCTTATCTCTTGATTTCTAATGGTGAAAGTAATTTAATACCAATACAAAGTCAGAGATTTCCATAATTTAAATATGATAATTTTGTGTGGGTTTTTTTCAAACAGTATTTGACGTTATTACTTGGTAGTCATTTAACAACGTCTTCCCTTTTTCTCCCCAGACCCATCCTTGAGCCTTTATCTTTCGATATCTAATGGTGAAAGGAATTCAATACTTATACAAATTCAGAGATTTCCATCATTTTTCAAGTAAGATATTTTAGTGTGGGTTTTGATCTGTTTTTGATGTTATTATTTTGGTAGTCATGTAACAACGTTTTCTCTTTCTCTCCCCAGACCCATCCTTGCACTTTTTGTTCACTTCCTCATTTACATCTACTTTTGATTAATAATCAAAATGGAGCATAAATGGGATGAAATGTTTCTCCTCCTCACAGAGAACATTTATCCTGAGGGAATGAATAAATTTCAAAGAGACAACTGGAGGAAGTACTCCCTTAAGTTTACAGTAAAGGGTAATAATGCATTTGCTAGTATGGTTATACATGTCTTATTCTTCTTCTGTTGTTTTCATATAAATTATTTTTTATAGATGGTGAGCTGTTCTATGGCAAAAGAAGAGCCATTAAAACCAGACATGAGGCGCAGAAACTATTTCAAGAGTTTCATGCTACGCCCATGGGAGGCCACACTGGGATGAAAAAAACCCGACATGCCATTTGTTCCAGGTTTTACTGGCGTGGCATGACTGTGATGATTGACAATTGGGTATGTGATATTATTTGTCTGTACAAATTCCCTTCCCTAAAGCCTGTTCGTTTTAAGATTGCTGAGTGTGACCAATGTCAACGTGAGGGAAAGACTCTGGGTACAGTTGCACCACTCCAAACAATAAAGGTAATTGTATTGTTACTATTCAACCACCAATGTACATTTATGCATTACAATCCTGTTGGCATGTTAGGTGTCTGCTGTTTGGGAGCTGCTGGGGATTGACCTAACTGGGCCCTTCCCCAAAACTACTGATGGCTATCAGTACATATTTACAGCCACTGATTATTTTTCAAAGTGGGTAGAGGCTTTCCCATTGAAAACCAAGACGGCTGCGGAGGTTGGGCAAAGACTTTGCTCTATAATATACAGGCATGGGTGCCCGAAACGGATCCTGTCTGATCAAGGGCGGGATTTTGTAAATGAGGTGAATATTGCTTTTTGTAGTTGTTACTTTTTTTTGTTCATACTTTCTTATTCATTTAATTTTCATTGTTTTAGCTCAATGATTCTCTGTGCTCTCTGCTGGGGCATTGAGAGAAGCGTCACCGCTGCGTACCACCCACAGACTAATGGGTTGGACGAAAAGACCAACCACAACATCAAGAGGCAAGAAAGATATGTATAATTTAATCATGTGAAGCACACATTAAATATATGACTGATGGCAAACCCTACATGTTTTAATTTCCCCCATTTAAACAATGTTCGGAATGTCTTTCATCAGAGCTTTGATGAAGTTGGTGAATGAGCAGCAGAACAACTGGGACACATTCCTTGATGCCACACTGTTCTCTTTGAGGTCAAAGGTGCACATCTCAACCAAACACACCCCATTCCAGTTGATGTATGGGCGGGAGGCTGTGTTCCCCTCAGAGGTGCCTGTAGATTATCCTGTAAGTTCCATTCGTTCAATTGTTGGGTTACACAGAGGGGGAAGAAGCTGGACCAAGGTCATCAGTAAGTCAGCTCAGTCATGGGCTGTTCCCAGTGCAGCAGGTGGGGGACCATGACTGTCACCCCCTGCAGGACACTCTGCTCTGGAGAGCAGCTTCAGTGAGAGCTATTCATCCTCTATGTGTGAAGAAGAGGTTGCACAGGTCTTTCCTTCCTGCCGCTGTCAGACTGTACTGTGAGAACACTGCTGAGCCTGTACATGTCATCTCGTCTGTAAATCTTTTAGTAAGCAAATACTGTAACAATACACAATTTTCCCACTGTATCATAGTTAGGATGAGAGTAATGAAATAAATAAAGGAAAGAAGTGGGAAAGTAGAGGGGATGGGAGAGGGGTCCGAGCTGTAAGGATACGACTTGCTGGGGTTGGGAACAGCGATACCCAAATTAATGGTCTAGCAGACCTGAAGTTAGATAGTCTTTTAAAATTCCGACAACGACGGGCGGCCAGGGTATCCTCGAGAAGGTAGACGCGTGAATATACGAGGGAGCGGCTGTGGTTCGGCGCGATTGTCCGCAGGGGTGATCTCATGGTTGTCGGGCCGGTGACCGGTGCAGCTGCGACCGCGGTATAAACCAGCACACCGCCGTTGCGGACCAGCGGCTATCTGACGCCACAGGCGGCAGAGATGTAGGCGCTGTTGAAAGGGGCGGCCCACTCGCCAGAGCCGCTGGGTCGAGGTCCTGATGAAGAGCCGTGGCAATAGAACCCTCGGAAGAAAAGGGGAGGGCGGCAAGCTGTACACGCCCCACCGTCCACGGGGCGATTACGTCTGGTGGGGGAGGGCGCGCCTGGAGGGGGAAAGGTTCCAGACTAGCCCCGGACGCGGCAGTAGAAGGTAACCGGGGCCGGAAACGACTGAGCGAGCAAGGAAGAAGACGGCGGGGGGTGCTTGGGGATGAGGGGGTTGCCCTCTGACGTACCACCGGACGTGTCGCGGTAGCCACTGAGCCCAGCGACATACGCCCCCCGTGCCCTTCCCACCTGCTTCCTCGCGCAACCCAGCGCTTAATCCGTGCCCCTTGTACACCAGCGCACACGACCGCCCCCAGCAGGCATGCCCAAGGGCTCCCAGTCTGCACCAATAGGGGTCCGATCCCGAGCTAGTGCACGACGGGCGAGGGTCGCCGGTTGCCCGGTCCCGAACTAAGCCAGCCCACAAATGGCACAGAAGAGGAAAGGGCTCAGTGTGGTCAGCCGCCGGGCCCAGGTAGCGTGAGGACTCATCCAGGGTATCAGCCATGGACAGGGCAGGCGGGGGTTTGCCCCTGGCTCTCACTGAGGCTCGGCGAGGGCCGACCGTTGGACACGTGCAACGCCAGCCCGCCCGTGGCCGTCTACGGGAGATCAGCCCGCGACGCGGGGAGGAGGACGCCGGCGTGCGCGCAGAAGAACAATATTAACCTTATTTTTTATATTTAGCGAGACAATCATGGCACCTTTTCTGACCCACCAATCACTAAAACAAGTGGAGGGAAAAATCAAGAGCTTGTGGAGGATTTTGAAGAAGGGAACAACAATAAGCAATATTTCACCAGGTATTGGATAGTAATAAGTCAGAACTGAATAGGTTACTTTGCAATCTAAGCGTTTATTTCCCCAATGCATTTAGGACCCTGCCAAAATGTGACACAGGCCTTACACAACCAATGGAACTTGCAGAGTGCGAGAAGGTGCGCTATTATGAACAACAAACAGAACAGGGTATGTCTAGTACAGTACATATTACAATTATTTGTTATTTTTCATTACTAGCAATACTAACTTTTTTGATGTCCTTAGAGCAAATGAGGTAGGGAAGGAGTTTTTAACAATGGAAAAAGTCTTGAAGCGGACTAAAATTGTCACTTGATTGTCACTACGCAAGTCACAACATTCTCTTGTACACCAAATTCTAATTGTTTTCTCAGGGTATGCCCCATTGTACAAAGAAGAAACTAAATGAACAACTGATTGCCTAAAGATGTGCAGAATACCCGTCTCCGAGCACCAGACATCACAGCTGAAGCGTTTGTCTTTGTAATCAATTAGAATAACAAATCCTGTTAACATTGAAACTTTTTTTTGCAGGCTTTTTTTGGGCAGGAATGCACTTGAATGAAAAATGTCAAACGTGGGCAAGATTCTTCAAAGGGCAGTCTTATTCAAAGTTCCAACCCAAAGTACCAACAAAGGAAAGCAAACAGCAAAGCCAACACTTGGTAAAAGAAATGAATACTGTACAAACATCTACAGTACAATAAATTAATAATATATTTTAACAGAGGCTGACCAGGACAGAAAGCCAACGCACTGGCCTTCAGGATCTGTGAACTCTTCGCGTATCCTGAGTCAACATCACATGCAGGATATGGACCTGGCTCCCAGTCGTCCGAGCACCAGCTAACCAACTCCACAAATCTGAGACTCTGTGGAATTGGGACACGTATGTTAATTATTGAGTATTGCTGTTTTGCGTAGTATGCAGTGTTTTTCAACCCACTGTGCCGCGGACACACTAGTGGTTGCCCTGCGGCACACTAGTGTGCCGTATGATATTTGGTCTGGGTGATGCCGCCGTGAGAGCAATTCGTCTACTTTGTCTAAAAATAACTGCATTCGCTGGTCTGACAGAGCGGTGACTTGTTTTGAACTGTGGAGGTAAACCATGTAATACTTTTTCAATACGCATCAGTAGATGGCAGCAGATAGGCTAGAGTACTTTGAAACTGAAAATTGGATGCGACCACTGTCAGCCAGTGGTCGCATCCAATTTTTCAGTTTCAGGTCCAGCATTGTGGCGAGAAAGGTAAAATTGGATGCGACCAACAAATGTGGGAGGGAGCGAGACAAGAGCTTTGTGGCGAGTGAGAAGTGAAAGTGATAGAGACGTTTTTGAAAATGAATTATGCCCGTTTCTGAACAGGATTAACATCCTCCGCTCTGCCCCGGGGCAGCTGTGGCCGCGTTGTAGTGGTTAACTATGAAATGTACCATTTTTGTACAACAGCTCTCGTGAACGCACATCTGATACTGGGTACCGAGCGCAGACCATAGTCGAGTGGACAGAACCACAGACATGCGGGACCGGACAGAACCATGGACTCGCGTTCCAGGACCTCCCGTGTCCCTCATCCAAAACTCCTGAATTTAAAAGCTCGGGATACCTAAATTTTTCCCATGCACTAACCAATGCATGTTCTTTGTGTGAGTTATTATTTGACTATGGGCAGAAAGTGGATTTTCTTTTATTTTTCTTTTATTTTTTTCCACACAGTTCTTAGTGGCCACTTTATTCCCAGAACCTCTTGTTAATTGTATCGAGAAATATTAACTAAAGCTTAATGTCAAGGCCTGGACTTAAGCATTTTTGATGAGAATAACTGTATATTGTGAATATAGGCTACAGAGTATACAGTATACATTATAAGATAAGATAAGATATACTTTATATATCACACAGAGTATGTACAGTATATATTTTGACATTAGTACTGTAATACATTTTTACATTTTCTCCTGGGAGGTGTGCCGCAAGATTTTTTTTCAGTGAAAAAGTGTGCCTTGGCTCAAAAAAGGTTGAAAAACACTGGCGTAGTGTACTGAAATGTTTTGTCCCTTTGTCTGTTTCATGGTGTGACGACGAGACCATTTGCACCTGCAAATGAATTGATTTCTGAAAATGAAGTCTCCACGCTCTTTCAACATTATCAATATATTTATTTGACAGGGACAATGCAGACACAGTCATAATAATACAATTCCTACATTTCTAAAAATACACTTAGTTTACAGCCTACAGACTTGATTGATCCACACAAAAAAACTACAAACGTGTTTTCTCTTGTATTTAAAGCTTGACATCAATGCGGGAACTTTACATCCTTCAGCAGGAAAATCTACACAAATTCAATTCAATACCACAGCCCATTTTTTTATGCACAACCTAACATAAAACCCATGAAAAAACCTTTGATTGGTTCCAATTTAAATGTTACTCACCAGTGTTGTTCATTTCTTTAATAGAAAGGATGCACCCGATCTTTCATCTGGGAAACTAGTCAAAATTCATCAATCCACGAATGAATTACATTTCAAAGGACAACATGGCCATGGCATGTAATCTCTGTGGTTACTGGTGATAATAATCCTGTGGTTGTTGTCATGGATCAGCTGCAGCAGAGTCTTGACAGTAAAAGTTGCACTATATATCCAAATGGCCATATTTTTTTTTTTGCAACTTCGAATTCATCCCATGAAAATTATTAACTGAACTGACAGAAAAGTGTGCAGTCCACAAGCTGTGCTGCTGCAGGTGATCGCTGCATTAAATTAAATTTATTATTTCCATTATCAACATTCATCCAGTTGTAAGCTGTAGAGTTGCCACAGGACGCTTCATCAGCCTACGTCAGCTGCCAGGACTGCTATCATAACATAAGCATAGTGGTTTCATAGGTGCAGTTGACTGCTTAAACTAAACTTTACCCGAAAGTTTGACTCTTAAAACCCACATGTGCCAACACGGAACCATCAACATCTCGCCTCAAATTGCATTAAAAGTGACATTCGTGTCTTATTTCGTTCGTATTATAACTTTTAAAGGAATTCACGGACTTTCTGTCCGCCATCTTGGTTTGTTTCGGCTGCCGTGAGACGCGCATGCGCGCAGGTTTGCATTACATCATTAACAGCTGAGCATTACATAAGCGTCACTTTTTGGCAGAGCGTTACAACTCGGCAGAACACCGGCACAAAATGAAGATCCTGGTCGTTTGTTCTTCCTCTGATGAAGAACCTGTGGATGTCTCTATTGTTCTCAACAGCAAGGAGATTGTGACTGGATGTGGAAATACTGCAAAGGCATGTGCACTGCTAATGGGTCTAATATATTCCCTCAATCTTGCTTATCCTACAACACTACGATACACCTTCGAAGTATTTCAGAAGATTTTCTTACATTTAGATGCATTTAAGCCATCCCCGAAAATACAAACACTGAAAGTCAAGCTACTGTCCAAAACATAAGAGAAGCAATTTTGTTCAGCATAAGAGAAAAGGCCACAGATTTTATATAATTTGATGTTGTTACTTTAGCTTAGACTCTAGCTTAGACTAGAATATGAAAATTAGTCATTAAAACATGGACATGTTAAATTAATTGACTATTCTTGAATCTAGTAACTCCTCATGTAACAGTGTTTTAATTAGGGAAAATGTGAAATGCTCGGCCACTTCTAAAATTACCTCGGTCTGGAGCCATTGAGATTTACTGCGAGAGGCTAATGCTACAACATCCTGGTCTTTAGCTGAACAGAGGCTCAAAGACCAGGCAGGTGCATCATCTCATCTAAGCTAATGACATTTAGTTATAGAAAATCAATGGCCTATCTCTATACCATTCCCATTGCATCCTTTTTGTGATAATTAAGTTTTCTGTTGTCATGTGTTCTGCTTTTAAGGTCAGCTTTAGTTCATCTTTTAGTTTTCATTGTTGATGTGTGAACTTAAAAGTTTGTCAATAAAACAGGTTGTTAAATGTTGATATTTGCATATTGTTTTTTCTTATTAATTCAATAATAATGTAATTGTTACACACATATAGTACTTAATAAGTATTATTGCAATGATATGAAATATACTGATAAAATATAAATAACATTTATTCAAGTTATCCATTATTGTAAATGATCTGTACACATAATGGTTACTCAGTATATCTATTTCACACAGAAATAACCTAAAAAAAATCACATAAACCTTACTTGATTATTTTATGTGATCAAGTAAAAAAAATCTCATTTGTTAAGTAAGGTTTACTTACAAATAACATTCAGATTATACTTGATGAAATAAAAAGTTTTACTTGATTTATAGTAGTAATCTTTAATTATATCTTCATGCAAATACTTACGAGGATTTTTTTAAGTAAATGTTAATCACGATTTTTTTCAGTGTATAACGTAAACTTTTGCATCACGTTGGTGATCTTTCCAAAAAGAGAGAATATCGTTATGGAAAGAGAAACTATTGGTAATATAACGCTGAACGTTATTTGACTCAAACAGCTTGGAACAATTGGATTACAAAATTTGGACATCATTTGGAACAATCTGGATTTCTGAATTTGGACATCATTTGGAACAATCTGGATTTCTGAATTTGGACATAATTTGGACTGAATTGAATTACTGAATCTGGACACTAAAGCTGAAACGTGCGATTGAAAGACACGTCACAGAAGAATTCATGGCTTGACACAAA